AAGTCCATCTTTCAGGTCCTGCTGCACTACAGAGCGGCCCGCTTCCAGGACTTTGTCAATCTCTCACAACAGGTAATGATCTGATTTACTTATTCCCCAACTACTGATCGATAGATTATCCTTGTTTATCCTTTTGCCTTTTAGGTACATATTTACAACCAACGGATGGTCGGTGGGCTGAACAAATGCACCCGGTCGGTGCCCTTCGAGCGCATTAATATGCGGGAGGTAAACTCCTCGCAGCTGGGACCCCTTCCTGTTCCGATGAAGAAGATGCCATTCCGCCTGGATCAGATACCCTTCTATGACACACAGTACATGGTGGATCCGGCCAATTCTATATCTCGTCAAACGTTTCCCAATCAGTTGCTGGTGCAAAATCTGGAAGATGATGAAGCCTGGGATAGTCCTCTACAGCGCAATCCTTCGATGACTTCGTGTGCCATGACCTACAATGCTTATAAGAAAGAACAGGCTTGCCAGACCAATTGGGATCGTATGGGCGAAAGCGATAATATATACAATCAGGGGTTCTTTAGAGATCCACAGCAGTTAAGAAGGTAAGATTCCGATATACATATGCCACGTACCACATCGTGTTATGTCCGTCTGTCCCTTGATTTAAAAATCATTTAAGCTTTTAATGACGGCATTTTAAGCACCTATGTGTTCTCGTTTTTTTAGAAACCAAGTGCAACAAAACATGAATGCTTACAACAATGCCTATAACAACTACAACAGCAGCAACAATCCCAACTGGGGCCGCTCAGGATCCCGTCGTAATTCCCTCAAGGGCTACGCGGCGCCACCGCCGCCGCCACCGATGCCTTCATCCAACAACTACTATCGAAATAATCCCAGTCAACAGCCTCAAAGGAACTATCAGCAACGCTCCTCGTATCCACCTTCAGATCCCATAAGAGAGCTCCAGAACATGGCACGCAACGACGGAGACGTAAGTGTGTCCCACACTTATATTATCTTTGACTTAAACTCCACGCATATGCACTTTGCAGAACTCCGAGGATCCTCCATTCAACTTCAAGGCCATGCTGCGCAAGACAAACTATCCAAGGGGCTCAGAGACCAGCACCTATGACTTTAACAATCGCCGGGGGTCGGACGCCGGGGATCAGCAGCACACATTCCAGGCACCCAAACTACGCTCCACTGGACGCCGCTTCGAAGATGAGGGGGGCTATAAAACCTCGGCGGGCAACTATGGGGCTGCCCGCAACTTTGGCCAGCAGCGGGCTCCTCCTTTGAACCAGAGCTCCTCCAGTGTGGGTCGCAGCTTTGAGAACAGCAATGCAAGGTCCTTCGAGCAGGCGGGCTCCTATGTTGAAGAGGAGATTGCACCAGGGGTGACCCTATCCGGATATGCGGTGGACATATAAACATAGTACTACTTCAAGAACCGGCTCCAAGTCCCACCAGATAGCAGACATGCAGACTTTACACATTGAGTGGAGTGCTCTCACAGTGGATTTCATGTAGAACTTAAATGTAACTTAAAACATAACTAAAACATAGTTTTCTTAACATTGTTAACTCCCAAGAGTATCCCTTGGCATGTGTCTTAATGGTTTAATCCGTTTACATTACCATGTTTGGTTTTGTTTCAAATCTCAGAAAATACCATTTTTGTCCATTTTGTCGAAAATATATTCTAGTTTGAAGGTTTTTAGCAATAAATTGAATTCAGCAAACACATTTGCATTTTATTGACGCAGGATAAAAGAATAATTCGACAAACTAACATTGCTTATGAATTTTTGTTGTAAATGATTTCGTATTCTCACTTTTAAGGTCTAAAACGCAACAACAATACTCTCAGTATTACATACATAAACTATATCCATTATACATTGTATATATAGCTAAACAAAACGTTTATAGGAATGGATTGAACAAATACTCTTTTGTTCGCAGGACTCTTTTGTTTTGTGTGATCGATTTTTGTTTTTTTTTTTTTTTTTTTGATAGGGGACATTCGATAATGCTAAAGTAAATTGAATTAAAAATTTTAACATCACACCCAAAACGGGTATGGTCTCATAAATTCTTGAACATGATAAAACCAAGCTTGGATTTGGTTAATTTTCAGATAATATCAATCATCCATACCGGGTTCACGTAGACCATCTGAATGCATTGTCTTGCCGGCAATTTCCAGCATAGCACGATCTTCCAGATTGCTATCTAAGATTGAGCGTTTCTGTAAAGGATTCACCATATATCAATCATTAATTCAGATAATATTTGAGTATTTCATATGACTAACCTGACCATCACCGCCTCCTTCTCCATCCTCGCCTTTGACGGGTAAATCGCCCACGGCCCATACCTCCATATTGCGTATTTTAAATTGCTTTCGTTTGCTTTAAATACAAGAGTATTTGGTGATTTATAGACACTCTCCTTTTTACGGTATATCCTTACCTCAACTGCACATAATCTCGATATGTGGAACAGCTTTCCACACTTTGTCCATCGCCAAACATGCAGTCAATCCACAGTCCCCAGAATTCGAACTGTCCACCCATTCCCTGCTCACGCAAAAAAACACAAAAAAAACCGGTAATTAGAAGGGCAATCAATCAATTATATATAGGCATGACTCACCAAGCCATTGGGCATTGTCTGCTGATTCAAATTCAGATACTGATAATGATCATTGTACCCAGTGGCCGAAAAGCACCGCATGGCGGGGCTTAATGTAAAAAGCAATGAGCTATCGTCGCCACAGAATTGTGGCTTCAGAGACCAAGATTGGGACGCATAGCCCCCAAAGATGTATTGATCCTCGTCTTCGATGAAAAACAACGTGGGTCCCTGGTCGACGATTTTCCCCAGCATGGTGGAAAAGCTCTCGCCATGGATTTTCGATGAGAATAGAAAACGCCATTTGTGGCGCAGCTCGCGGGTTAATTGAGCGTTAATGTACAAGACGTGCGGCAGTTCGATGATGGGGCGATACTGACTATGGGCAGGGGCATCTACAAATTGGGAGAATAATTAAAGTTAAAGAGATAACAGGAGGATTTTTCGTGTTGCCATACCACATAGCTCTGGGAGAATAGGAATTTCCACTTCCTTGATAATATGACGCTTGCTGCCGCCATGACGAGAATACAGTTGAACAAAAACCTCACGCCACATCAGCAGGAACTGCGGTGTGACATGCAGCCAACGTTCGAGTGCTTCACTATGCATACTATGCTCGAGCTCTTTGCCCATATTCCTCATCAGACCCTTCGCTAGAGAGCAAGCTGAACGCTCTGTGGTAAGGAAGCCCAGATCCTGCCAGTCCTTGATGCTGGAACCCTTTGCAGTGGTCTCCAAATGCACGTAGCTCTTTATAACCGAGTACAAATACTGAAAGAAGAATCAAGAGTTTACATAGTTCGAGCTCTATTGAGTTTCCAATTCAGTTCTTACCTGCTCCAATTGCTTGACATTGAAGGTGTCGGCTCCATTTCGTGCCAGTGAGCATAATAACATGTGCATTTTCTGATCCATGGTACCACGCTCCATGATGTAGTAGGGTTCGGCGAACTTTTTCAGCGGTATATTGACGGTTTGCTGGCCTGGCTTCGTCGGTATAAACAAAAACTGAGCCGTACTCTCGGCCAATGATCGTTCGATAGTCTGAGACCATGTTTCCTGTTTTCATAATAAACAATATTCATGAATAACCACTATAAACAAAGGAAGTGCGCATTGGGGATACTCTTTATAAACATAATTTTAGTGCTGCTGTCAGCACATTCTTTCAAGGTCTGAGAAACGCTGAGTCGCCAAGTGCTTGAGCTCTCGCAAGAGAAGGGCAATTTTTGATTCTGTTGGGGCCCACGAAATGGGTTAATATTGTTTATTTTTAATTCAATTTTCATGCCGCCCTAATTGGGGGACCCCTTCCATCAAAATCACGATTAGTTCGTGATTCGTTAGCAAGCAAATTCAACAAAGCAAAAAGCAAACACACAGCACCGAGCGTCAAGCGCTCAGCAAACAAATTAGACAAATTATGAGGCTCGTTCACGTTCGGTTTGATAGTAGTGGAATTATCAATTGAAAACTGCTGATAAGCACTAACCGCACACATTTTCCTTTGTCATGCAGCGGGGCAGGTGGTGCATCCTCATGACTCCGAGGCTCAAAAGAAGTGCACTCTGCTTGAAAACCTTGACCCTTTGACCGTGACCACAGCTGCAGCATGCAGTTCCGCATCTGCTTCGAATTTACATTGATTTTTTTGACCCCGGACACGTGTCACACGGCACACAAACACACATTGATCATATAGTATATCCTTCAACTTACAACAAGTCGGTCTGATGTCAGCCTCTCCAGGGCGCCGCCAGATGCATTCTTGTAAGCAGACTCCAGCATCCGCATCTCCTCGGAGGTGTACATATTGTCCGACTCCCGTTTACCGCTCGCATTACCCATGGCGAAGGCGATTCAATTTCCAAATTAACTCGTTTAGCAGCTGCTGCTATTTATTGCGTTGGCGATCGGGCGATTTTTAGAAAACGAAAACAAACGCTAGCAGTGTGACCGCGGATTTATCGTTAAAATATACCTTCAAACCATCAGAAATATACCAAAATATACCGTCTCATGTTCAGAATATACCGTCAAAATATACCAATGAAAAACATTTTTTTATTAATAAAAAAACGTAACAAAACCCTTTTTTCTTTATTTGAGATCGTTATTTTATTTTTTGCTTAGTCTTCATAATATTAAATAGTGTTTTCTTTTATATGAGATCTTAATAATGTAATACTATCGGTGGTGTGGAAACCCTACTTGTCATGCAGTGTGACCGTATAAAATATAAAATAAAAAGAATATCCCACCACAAAAAAGAGAGAAATCCCACCACACTTATCGGAACTAAAATTGCAGTGCTGCAATAAATTTGAATTTTATAGTTCAAGTTATGAAAAGTAAATTGCTATAGAAATGATCTCTTTTCTTAGAAAACCCAGTTTTATGGTCAACAACAAAATTTAAGTATTTATTCTTGTGATGCGAAGAGTAGATTCCGATACATTTTATAAATGTAAAAGAATCCTTAAACAAACACAATCAAACAGGTTTGATTGAGTGGCGCGGCTCGCACGAGTAGCCATGGGTATTTTCCAGAAGCTCCTTGGGATCCACATAAATTGTACCTTCCTTGCCCCTGGCAAAAGGTGTTTGTCCATTCGTTTGTAAGTAAAAGTTGCCTTGAATCCTGCAAAGCGATAAAAATAACAAAAATCAATGTTTTTTGTACTCCCTAGCAGCTCCATTATCTTCCGAGATTCTTACGATGTGGGACAGTGATGACCCATCACCACGGGGGGACAAGTTTCCACTGTTTTGTTTTGCTTGAAATCCGACCAGCTCCTACACGGCACGGCATCGAATCTTATCGGAAAGCGATCCGAGACGCTTTCGGCCCAGAACCACCAGCTACGCCGATGGCTAGACAGATCATTATCGCTGAGCATTTTGTAGTTCCGCTTGGGACAGCCGGGCTGTAGGCTATTGCCGCCATTGGGCCAGAAATCCGCCGTACCCGTGCTCGTAGGGGCGCCATAAAGCCAAGCATCTGTGTGTATCACATCCACGAATTCGGCATCATTGGAAGTTAAGTGTGCCCCCAAAGGATAGTACAATGGGAAGGCAGGATCCAGGGCGGAAATTCTAAAGTAAAACGGTTGAAATTTGTAAAAGATTTTTCATAGTTATATAAGTTACACTACCTTTTTATCTTTCGAACACCTTTGGTGCGTTTATATATCTCCCGACCGATATTTCCGGCTAGCTGTCCACCCATCGAGTGGCCGACTATATGCAATTTTTCAATATCCAATCCGTGGTCAAACATCTCTAGCAGGACCTTGGCCAGTTCGGGTGCCAGTTGTTTGGCATTCACCATGGCATCGAATATATAATTGCCATCGGCCAGCTCTCCCCAATCGAGGACAATCAGATTTGTGTCCTTGCGTTCCAGATATGCTTCGGCTATGACATGTATGCTCTCCACATCCGGATCTTCCAGATAGCCGTGCAAATAGAGTACGGTGTTCCTGCTCAAGTCCAAGTTCTCGTCCTCCAATAGACTCTTATGGTCTTTCAGATCATAGATATCGCTATCTGCCACCGTGGGTCTGTGGAATACAGACAGATAAAGCTATGCATGACATATTTATCGTATCCGTTACGTACCCGTAATAGAGTATAAACTTTGCCGTTGTCAGATCTGCCTTCGCGTTCTTGAGGCCACAGAGCAGCCCTGAAAACCAATTAATCGAAAGTTAAGCAAAGGAATTTTCCATTTTCCAAGACTCTCAGCAGAGCACTTACTGGATTTATTTTTAATGGCCTTGTGCATTGTGGTGTGGTGTGTCCATAAAATGATTGATTACGAAAGTACGTGTCCAAGTGGGTTATCCGGATATCCTCCGCTTCCAGGCAGTGATTAACCAAGACTGAAGTGGCGGCCACTCGAAATGTTGCCAAAGCTCTGCCGTGGCGTGGCCGAAACTAAACCGCATTCGAATTGATAACTCTAATTAAATTTGAATCGTTTGGATAAGATAAAACGGCGGCTAATACAGTTATACGACACACTGCCATTGTGATTCATTCCTTTGCCGAAACGAAACACACACCAGTGGAAGCAAAGTCCTGTCCTGTCCTGTCTGATAACTTTGCCTGTTCATGCATCATTCATGTGGACATTACCTATTTATATACCCCTGGCAGAGGGTATTAACTATAGAGTACTCATAAAAAAAATACATTGCCCACAATTGAATGACCAGATCTAAATCCCATAATTTTGCTGTAAACGATATTCAAAAGTATCTCAGATCTTAGCGCAAAAAATACTTTTAAAAAAATATAATATATTTTACCGACCTGGAACACAAAAAATGAGAAGATATAATGGCAGAAAAATCAGAGCTAATCTTGCACACACCTTCCGAGTGGAATAAGAGCACGACTCCATCGGATTCAATCATCCATATTATTTCATAAGAATTGTCTTAGCCAATCTTCAAATCTAATTAAATCAAGCCTTTCCTTTTCGATCTATCTCTTTCTAACGTACGCTTAAATTGCAGCTCTTTGAAGCGCAATACTGCTTTTGCATTCATTACAATTTGAATCGAGTAAACCGAATGCAAGAGATCGAAGTGCAACTTTGCACATGCGCCGTTTGAAATCGATCTCACAAGCGCCAAAGAAGACACGCTATGCTCGATCGTAATTCAGGGCTTGCTAACCCATTAATTTCCACATAATGTTGGGTTCACTGTCGGCCTAATGGCTTGGATTACCTTAACCCCGAGGAGGCAGGCGCAATGTGTATGAACAAACAATAATGCTTAAATATGCACACTCTTGGAAATTACAGCAATTCCACAACACACATTTCTACATAGTTTTATACAAATTTGTGTGTGTAGTTGTGTGACGAAATCAAAGCGCGGCACGGCCCTCCAGCGCTCGAGCCATTGTAATTTGAGTACCGGTCTTTTATTTTCGTTTTGTTGTAAATGCGGCTTTATAAATAAAGAGCCACTTCAATTTAGATTCACGCTTATCGGGGGGAAATTAGCCCATTGATAGTACTGATACGTATGGTAAGGGGAGGGGCAGCGTAGGGGGACAGAGCGGAGCGCCAAGCTCGTTCCATGAAACACGCCACTTTAGGCACAGGCCACAAAAGTGTAATATTAAAAGTACAGCAGTATAGCAGATTTTTGACATATTCGCGTAATTAATGTACGACGAGGCGGCGGACTACGGACACTTGTTGCGCCGTCGGTAGATGGTTGGGGGATCGGTTGAGTGCACGAAAAGCGGACGCGGAGATTGCGACAGTAGTAGGAAATTGATTATAATGACCAGCTGGTGGAGGTGTCTATGTATTTACTATATATGTAGGCAGTGGATTGGTTCCACCCGATTAGCAAAACCAATTTGCGTGTGTTTTCTGCCTATTTGACTTTCCGTTCCGGGTAATATTCCAAGTCTCAACGATTAGATTATCGATGCGAATGACACTTACGAAGGCACTCTGCGTGGTAAATTGCCAGTAAATATTTACAGACGCTATTCGTCTCTTCTCTTCGAATGGACGACTTTTGGACCGCGACGATGGCGAGAGCAGAGGGAGCGACCGAAACAGAAAAAGCGTCGAACCACGCCGTCGCAAAAGTTCGACTGATCTCTCGCCAAAACAAAACCTGAAAACAGACAAAAACTATCGCACAGGTACGACTATGATATCACTTTCAAAACTATCGATATCGGACGGGCGCTAATTGTTTTTGAATGGTTTCTTACGAGTGTGTGGTAGGATTCAATTAAAAGCTTTTAAAGCAGATACAAAGCATAGCTGCAGAGTTTTCTATCTAGTATACAACTTTTTAAGATCTGTCCATGCGGACTCTAAACGTCTTGAATTTTCATACTGTTTTACTACAATTTGTGTGTTTATTTTATTTTTTATTTTGCATTCAGATGCGCTCAAATGTTTCAACTCTACAATGCGTTTTAATAATGATCTTTATGCTTATGTGGTAAGGTTGTTTATCATATAATATAAGTATGTAATTAATTTTGTTTTCTGTGTTGCGATTTTTGTGGCTCTTCCTCCCATGCTGGCATTGACGGCTCCTCTCCGCTCTGCGATTATCCGACGATTCCTCCTCCTCCTCCATGAACTGCAAAACTCAAACTCAATTCGATTCGATTCGAACTTCTCTCCTCCATCGCCAGCCAGCATCTGCTGCAGGCGTTAAACACCTCCTCGCGGGGGATGGGGATCCACTACAAGTTTCCATTTTTAAGTGTGGTTGCTACATATAATATGTGTGTGTTTGTTGCCGGCGTTAAATACATACAGTTTAAAAATAGAATAAAAAAGATGCAAGAAGATTGATTACGCTGTAACCAAACGAAAATCAAAACAAAAGTACACAAAACAACACGACAGCCACGTGGATGAAATACCGGGAAAGAGACAAGAAAAACGCATATATGGTTCAACATTAGTGTTAAATTCATGAATTTTTGAAATTAAATTTTAATTTAGCAAACAATTTTACTCGTGTAATCTTGGGAAAAAACACGATGGTAGGGATGTTAAGAACGGCATCACTGGCATTGGCATTGGTAGACACATTTCTTGATTGTTTGGCTACTCATCCTCTAACATTCCAATTCAATTCTCGACTCGCGATCCTGGTTGATCAATGCTCCATCATCTCCTCCTCCTAAAATGCCACCATCGGTAGGGCCCGTCGTCAATGTCGCCGGGGCTTCCACAATAAGCTTCGAGTCCATGGCCGCTTCAATTTTAGCACCCATGCACGGCGGCACCGCCGTTCTAAACACATTCAATTCCATTTCTAATGACAATGGATAGCAGTTTTAGATAAAGCTTCAGACGGACAATGTTTTTCTTGATAGATGTACGAGTTTTGGATATTCGCCGGGAATTGAACGCCAGAGACCAATTTTTATATTGTTTTTTTTTTAAAACGCTCGAAACTTAGTCTCCAAATCGCTTGATATGATCTTGACTTGCATAGTTTTGGTTCATCTGATGGATAGTAGGCATAATTAGGAGGGAGGTTCTCATAAGGCAGCAGTTCAATCCTCAACGCTGTACACCCATTCTCTCACTACAGGACTCTCGGGGTGGGGCTTACCTGCTGCTATTCCGGCTATAGCCTGCGCAGCAAAATGCTTAACATCGACATCGGAATCCACATTTAGTTTGTCGAGTGTGGGCTTGACTTGGGCATCGATGACGCTGGCCTCCAGGAAGGGGGAAATCTTCTGCAATGTCTTGGCCACATTGAAGCGTACATTGGCCACCGGATCGGCGGCAAGCAACAGGACCGTGGGCAGCAACAGTTTGGTGGTGATATCCGTGCCGCAAACCTCAGCCAAAACATTCAGGCAGAACAAACAGGTCATTCCTTAAAGGAAAAATATTTAAGATATCTGTAGATTCCCACGGCTTCCCCCACACTCACTGTGCAAATAGTTCTTGTTGCGTGACATGACCAGGATCATGGGGATGATGGCCTGTTCGGCCCAGGGGGCACCGAACTGCTCCACAAGCTTCTTCATGTTGAGAGTGGCCGCCTCGCGAATGGCATAGACATGGTCGTTCAACCAGCCCATGCAGAGGCCGCGCAGCTTCTGATCGAAGAACTCCTGCCCCAATTGACCGGCCAGGGCGGGCATGTACTCAATGATAGCCAACCGAACGCGCCACTTGGAATCCTCGGCCAGCTCGACAATGGCGGGCAGAAGGGACTGCGATAGCTGCTGAATGCCGATGACATCGTTGACGCAGTCCAGGTTCGAGATGATATTGAGACGCACTTCGGGGCACTCGTCCTTGAGCTGGATTAGGAAAAGGGGCAGCAGCTGTTCGACGGTCTGATAGGCGCCCAGCATTGGACTCAAACCCATAATGACCGAGGCCAGAGCCGACTTGACATGTGGATTCGGATCGGAGACCAAATCGCGGACATACGGTAAGATGGAGCTCAAGATGATTTGAACCTGATTGGCCTTGTCCAGATTGGCGCAAAAGTCCTTGACTTTGGTGGCCACGGCAGCGCGCACCTCGGCCTCGGCATCCTTAAGCAAGTACTGGAATGCCGAGACCAAATCCACGCGAGTGATTTCCGGTCCCACAGCCTTTTGCAAATCAACAAACTTCTCGGCCACCATATAGCGGACGCGCCACGACGAATCGTTGGAACACTGACGCAGTGTGGGAAGAACCAGCTATACAAATGCATTGGAGTTAATTCAGAAACCATTTCCAACTGTTGCCACTAATTCGACTTACGTGCTCGACATCATCCTGGGGCAGCAGCTGGGCAATACTAACGCAAGCCTCCACAGCCAGCAGACGAACAGAGTCCTGAAGGAGGGATGAGATGATAATGATCAATTTCTTCTACTATCTATAAATGTGTTGCAGACGCACCTGATCGTCCTGTGCCAATTGGACAAAGTTTGGTATCAAGTCAGACTTAAGATATTCCGTCTCCACGACTTTGGCAAATTCGCCCAGCTTGTTGGCCGCTGCACGCCGTACCATTGGGGTCTCATCCTGGCAGAGCTTACGGAAATTGGCACGCAGCTCCGCCTTGACAGGCTGTGTGACGCGTGGATAGCAGACCGAGAAGAGGCCGCAGGCGGAGGTGCGGGAGGTGAACCAGTCACCAGAGACGAGACGCTGCAGCGTTGGCACCACATGAATCTCCAGATCCTGGGCACTGTGCTCGGCCGCCACCGTGCGCAGAGATTCAACAGCCTTGTCTCGCACCACAGTCTCCTCGACAGTCGCCAAACTCTCGAGGGGTGGTATTAAATACATGGCAAATTCGGGACCGCCAACAAGGCCTATCAGCAGAAGTATTAATAGAACACAAATTGTTGGGTAAATTTGCCATTTGCTTACTTGTAAAGTTTCCCAGTTGGTCGGCCAGTGCCAAAAGAACCTCATCCTCATCGTATATGGTCTCGGTTAGGAACGGTATCAACTCGGAACGTGTGCGCTCTTCGCCCAAGGCCAAAGCAATGGTCGACAGCTTCTTTATGGAGTTGAGGCGCAGCTGCGAAAATCACGGGTTGGGTTGGGGGTGAAATAGGGGAATTTCATTTAGTTGCTCATTAAAAAAGTACACAAAAATACTCGGTGAAAATGCGAGCGACACGCACACATACACATGCAAGGGCACAAGGCACGGCATACACCCACACACATTTCTATGCATACAAATGACGCATTTTTTTGCACAAACACACACACACACGGTGAGCAGGACACAGCCATGCCTCTCCCTGTGGCTTTTTATTGGAACGCTAACTTAAGTTTGTGGATTTTCGAGACATGCAATAGTTTTTGCACACTGTTACTAACCTGCACATCCTCGTTTTTTAACTCGTCAATTAAAACCGCAATGGGATAAAGAGAATCGTCGACTGATTTGTCGCTTGCTGCCATTTTTTCTTCTCACACACACGCACTGAAAATCGGTTTTTCTATTCTGCAAGTAACCAACTTGATTTAGCTGCCTTGCCGCTAACAAAGTGCAATGTATTGGGTAATAAGTTAATTCCGCTAGCTTGTTGAGTTTGTATTCTCAATTTTCCACATATGTTACAAAATATTCTTCGATTAGAAAATGCGACGACGTTTGCTGCAAATTTTTTCTATAAGTGTGGCCGTCAGAAATATACGGTCTGACCCTCAGAAATATACCGTCCATTTTAAAAATATACCGCAAATATACTGATGAATTCAAATACTGATGAATATACGTATTCCCCGTTTTTTGATGTTCCGTCGAATATAACTAGCTAGATAGATCTTTCAGCACTGCCCACATAATTTTATCTGATTAATGAATACATTTTCTACTTGACTGGCTTATTTTAAATACTTGCTTTTATTGGAAATTGTCTAAAAAAAGGTTTTAGCGAAAAAGGTCACACAAATAAAACGTAACAAAAAATATATTTAGCAGTGAATTTATTCAAGCTTTAATTCTCTAAGAATGTTACAAACTCGGTTAATTTGAGCAACTGATCATCGTTCCTGCCAGTGGGCGGAGTTTCTTTGGCTTTGGGCAGCCAGATAACCTCATCGCCATCCTGTTCCCGAGTCCAATCTAAGGCCGCGACGGCATTTTTCAGCTCATCCTCAGTCATTTGAGCCATTTGTAGCAGATTGTTCTGGTAGATGGAAACATAGGCGCTGCCCGTGAGGGTGAAGAGCTCCTCCCTCTGTTTCACTGTACAAATATGCTGTTAAATTAACGCTTTTAACTCTCTTGCTTTCACTCCTTACCCAAGAGATCTTCCATTGTTGGCTTGACACACTCGGACCAATCGTATCTGATCTTTTGAAAGAATTCGGCAAAGTTGTTGTTCTGCAAGGCAAGATTTAGCTGATTTAAATGTAGCAATTCTTTGTCCTCCTTCAGTTTATCTGGTATACGCATCCACAATAATTTGGCATTGGCTCTAAAAAGAGATTGAATGTTGTTTATATTCGGCGTTAAACACTCATTTCACATACAGTTTGTTTTGGTAGAGATAAATTGCCATTAATTGCTGATAGACTTCTGCTCCCAGCTCGACTTGCTGTGGAAATGAATATATAGATAAAGTTACTAGTTTAATCATGTAATCTTTTGCAACTTACCTCCAATTCCTCATTTTCTAGCCGGTCTAGCAAATCGTTGTATTTGTTTGACTGCATTTTTATTATTTTCCTCGGATAAGTTATCGGAAATACTAGCCAGAGCAACTCTGCAAAGCTGTCAAAGTGCCTAAAGTCTCCACTTTCCAGGGTGACCGTTTTCGATCAAAAAATTTAATCGACGGTATATTCTCGGTATATTTTTTAATGAGACTGTATATTTTGGTATATTTCTAAAGGTCGGACGGTATATTTTATCGATAAATCCGCGGTCACACTGACTGTCCCTTTCTTTTCGGAAAAAAAACTCTATCAAGATGGGTCGTATGCACGCTCCTGGGTAAAATTTATAGTTTAAAATGCAGCTGTGTGAACAAATAGATTTGCAAAATGTGCCTGCCCACGGGGGGAATCCATTGATTATGTTAACTTTACAGTGCGGGCCCTGCTCTTAGCCTAAAATTGTTCACGAAGGCAAGCACATGGTGCAGACGTATTCACACACACACACACTGACAGCAGCCGCCTGAACTGAACATGAACTAACAAAATTATTTTCTTCGCAGCAAGGGTATTTCCCAATCAGCTCTGCCCTACAGACGCACAGTGCCATCTTGGCTGAAGCTGAATGCTGAGGATGTCAAGGATCAGATCAAGAAGCTCGGCAAGAAGGGTTTGACCCCATCGAAAATCGGTAATATGATTGTGTGTGTGTGTTTGTTGTTTGAGGTTATGTTAACGCCACTTTTGTATTGCTTCCAGGTATCATCTTGCGTGACTCCCATGGAGTTGCCCAGGTGCGATTCGTCAATGGAAACAAGATCCTGCGTATCATGAAGTCGGTGGGTCTGAAGCCCGACATTCCTGAGGATCTGTACCACATGATCAAGAAGGCCGTTGCCATCCGCAAGCATTTGGAGCGCAACCGTAAGGACAAGGACGGCAAGTTCCGTCTGATTCTGGTCGAGTCCAGAATCCACCGCTTGGCCCGCTACTACAAGACAAAGAGCGTTCTGCCACCTAACTGGAAATACGAATCGAGCACCGCCTCTGCCCTGGTTGCCTAAGTGTCCCCGATTCGCGCGTTAGTTGGTAATTTCTTTTTCAATTTTGTGGGAGCATACATTTTACCAATGTACAACCAATAAACCCAACATAAATAAACTGGAAATCAACTATTTTATAGAATACTAGAAGAAATGGAGAAGTTTTTGATAAAGCTGCCCAAAGGCGGGGGAGTTGAAGCTTTTAAAAGTTTACAGGAAAGCAGGATTGGTGGAATATATTGCACATGCGATATACATTTGCACACATTTTAATGTATGTATGTATGCATTTAATGAACATTGATTACACTTGTTGATTCCTCTCGTATGCAATCGGAATAAGTCGATTCGGTATTGTACATTCCCCCGCACACAAACACACTCGCAGAAAAGCTTATGTACATGGCGGCGCGCATGCATTAAAAGCGCTGATAGTCGCCAGCTGCTCGTCACTAGCGGCCCTTTTTTCAGCGCGGACGGTTCTGTTCTTCTGTTTATTTGGTTTTTTATATTTTTGCGTTGCCAACGCCGCACAACGACAGGCCAACGTTGGACAGGCCGTGTGTGTGTGCCGTGCCGTTCCGGCTCTACAAAATCTCTTGTTTCCCACGTTCCACGGGAGTAATTCGCCAGTTTTTGTTATTGTTAAATGTAAACAATATTTAAAACAAATGTACGTACACCGTTTAGCTAGCCTAGCGCATATTCATGCCAATTATTATAATTGTGTTGTGTTTAAAGATGATTTGGTAATTTGTGTACGTGAAAAATCCATGTGATTAGATAATTTACAGGCAAGCAAATGCGCAAACCTCATCGAATTGGCCTTTATCTGAAATGAATTTTAGTTTATTCTGCGATTAAGCGATTTTCGGCGTTATATGCTTTGTACATACATATGCTAATTTTTTCGTTCAGTTACAACGTGGTACGGTATGCTGTACGCACCCACACAGTTGTACTGAAGAAGAAACGGTAAAGGCATGCCTATTTTCGGTCAAATGAATGAAACAAACGACAGGGGAAAGGAAAGGAAAGGAGAGAGAGAAGCAACAAGGCGCAATGGCGCCCGCTTGCATGTCAATAACTGTTCCCTTCCAGAAAGTTGTGCGGGAAAGTTCCCGGGAAGGAAATTAATTAAATATCATCCTAATGACGCATCGTGATGAGGCCCTCGGCGACGACCCCCACATACATAAATAAGTAGATACATACATCATAAACAGTCGTCAAGACAACACGAATTCGATTCGCTTTCCTGATAAGTAAAACAAAAAAAGGCATGTTTGGATAAGTCAATTCGCGGTTGTTTTCAAGGGAAAAGGGGCGATGCCGATTACGAATTCATCCACTCACCAGAATTGGTTTTATATCTATACAATGACTGGTTGCGTGGTTTTCCTTTTAAAAATGCAAGTGTGGCTTATACCGATGCATCTTTTGACCCTGAATATTCATATTCGGAGCTTTTTGCAAACAGGGAATCGTTGCACACACCTTATACCTTATGATAACAAGATATCTTATACACACATTACATTACCATCTTGAAACCTTGACCTTAGCCTGAAATATATATATTTGTATTTATTTTAGAGTTCCTTTAGCTAGAAAAACAAAATGCAGTCGATTAAGACAGCAGATTTGCCGGAAAATCCGCGAGAGAGTTCCAATTTTGTATCAGCAGCATGCTTCTGGTAAGTAGAAACATTCCCCGGAATGTTAAGGATCAAATAGTATTAAATCCGTACATTTTCTTAGGTATACCATGCCCATATTTATCAAGGGGCGCAAGAACACGTTGGACACTACGGATCTGTATAGAGCCCTAAGAGAGCACAAGTCTGGTATGTTAAATAATATGATGAAATAGTACGCCACACCACATGATGGAATGGTTGGTGATGTTTAACATTTTAAATTATTTTCAAATTCCATTATCAACGATCCATATCGATTCGAGAACATATCAGTTTTACGGCTTAAGACAATGAGTTGTCGTCACATAAGATAGCAAATGGGGAAATTAGATATTCCTACTGTTCACTGTTTTGTTCGTCAGTTCCTAGATTATAAAATCTTGTCTACTCATGGTAACTGCCTTATAGTTTCGCCTCGTACTGTATGTAATCACGAGAACCAATCATTTGACGGATCGATGTACATAGTACATACATACATACATACATATGTTCGTTGACCGCGTAAATTGATGTGTGCTCTTTATTTTTTGTTGGTTTTAATTGTTCCGTGAGCTGTGCATTTTTTTTTTTCATTTTCTCAAATTGATAGCCGTGTCTGTCCTGGGGCATTGATTGTTTTCGTAATCCGAATAAATAGAGCCGATCCGTACCGTAGCCCCAATCAATTCCGTATCTTTGATTAATTTGCATTACTCTTTGCAGAGACCCTGGGCAACAAATTGTGCGCTTCCTGGGAACGAGAGCAGCTGCAGGGCGCCAAAAGGCGTCCCAATCTGCTCCGGGCACTGCTACGCGTCTTTGGCTGGTACTTTGGGCTGCTTGGACTGGTGCTGTTCATCCTGGAGCTGGGTCTGCGCACGCTGCAACCGCTTTTCCTGCTCAAACTTATATCATACTATTCTCATGGCTCGGAGTCGGAGTCGATCGAGGCGGCGTACTACTATGCGGGCGGTGTAATCCTGTGCAGTGCTTTCAATGTAATCATCATGCATCCGTATATGCTGGGCACCATGCACGTAGGTCAGTAATCAATGGTTTGACTCCTTAAAAATATAAATAATTCCGGTTTGAATCCCTTTTAGGTTTAAAAATGCGTGTGGGAATGTGCAGCATGATCTATCGCAAAGCCTTGCGGCTGAGTAAAACCGCACTGGGAGACACCACAGCTGGTCATGTGGTTAATCTGATGTCCAACGATGTGGGACGCCTGGATTTGGCAACCATATTTGTGCATTACTTGTGGGTGGGACCACTGGAGACGGTTTTTATAACATTTCTCATGTACCAGGAGGTGAGCAGAGACGGCGAGCGATAATCTTTTGACCTAGCATTTATTCACCTAATTTTTTGTCAGATTGGGATTGCCGCCGTGTTTGGTGTGGCCTTTATGCTGCTGTTCATCCCGCTGCAGGCCTATCTGGGCAAGAAGACCTCTGTGCTGCGTCTGCGAACCGCACTGCGGACGGACGAGCGGGTGCGGATGATGAATGAGATCATATCGGGTATACAGGTGATCAAGATGTATGCCTGGGAGCTGCCGTTCGAGACGATGGTGGCGTATGCCCGCAAAAAGGAGATCAATGCCATACGACACGTGTCCTACATACGCGGCATCCTGCTCTCGTTCATCATCTTCTTAACGCGCGTCTCCATATTCCTCAGTCTGGTGGGATACGTGCTGCTGGGCACATTCCTCACGCCCGAGATTGCCTTCCTGATCACCGCCTACTACAATATCCTGCGCACAACGATGACTGTTTTCTTTCCCCAAGGCATCTCCCAGATGGCCGAGACTCTGGTCTCCATCAAACGCGTGGAGAAATATATGCTGTCCGACGAGACGGACGTATCGGACAAGAGTGTGGATTGGCCGCTGGACACGCCGGGCAGCAATCAGGCGACTGTTCACGCTGAAACAGAGGAGGACCACGACGAAGTCGAGGATAAGCTATTACCCTCACCCCTGCCGATGCCCGTACCTGTGCCGCTGGGCAAGATCAATGAGAATGCCGTTCTATCCGAAGCGGGTATTATTATCAACGGGCTGAAGGCCAAGTGGGATGTCCACTCGCCCGACTACACTCTTAATGGCGTAAACCTGCGCGTCCAGCCAGGCACCATGTTGGGCATTGTGGGACGCACTGGCTCTGGCAAATCCAGTCTCATACAGGCGATACTCGGTGAACTGCGTTCCGAGTCGGGAGAGATCAAGGTGAATGGCTCAATGTCGTATGCTTCCCAGGAGCCGTGGCTCTTCTCCGGCACCGTGCGACAGAATATACTCTTTGGCCAGCCCATGGACCGGCGTCGCTACACGAAGGTGGTAAAGAAGTGCGCCCTGGAACGTGACTTTGAGCTGCTGCCGTTCAAAGACAAGACAATTGTAGGTGAACGCGGTGCCTCGCTGTCCGGCGGCCAGAAGGCGAGAATTAGTCTGGCGCGAGCCGTTTATCGAGAGACCTCCATATACCTGCTCGATGATCCCCTCAGCGCCGTCGACACCCATGTGGCCCGCCATCTCTTCGAGCAGTGTATGCGCGGCTATCTGAGAGAGCGCATAGTCATTTTGGCCACCCATCAGCTGCAGTTTCTGCAGCAAGCCGACCAGATCGTCATCATGGACAAGGGCCAGGTGAGCGCCGTGGGAACGTACGAGTCGTTGCGCGATTCCGGTGTGGACTTTGCCTCAATGCTGAACGAAGAGGCACGCGAAGAACAGACGGAGGAACGCTCGCGCTCTCGGTCTGGCAGTCAGGTCGATCATCGACGCAACAGCGAGATATCTCTCGTATCTGTAACCGATTCCGTGCTAGATGCCGGCGCAGATCAAATGGTCCAGCAGGAGCGGCAGACGGAGGGTCGCATAGGCTTGGGCCTGTACAATAAGTACTTCAAAGCTGGCGGCGGTTTCTTTGCCTTCTTCGTGATGATGGCTTTCTGTGTGTTCTCGCAGATCTTGGCATCGATGGGGGATTACTTTCTATCATATTGGTAAGGGGTCAAGTATGGGCTGTAGAGAACCGCATGAGTAATGTCCAACCATCTTTTTTATAGGGTCACCAAGAAAGGAAACGATGCTGTGCTTTCCAGCAATGCAAAGAATGATACAGTGAGCTCTTCTCCCATGCTAGAGAACCGTCTCTCCCACTGGCTGAATGAGCAGGGCTTGCCTGTGGACGCTGAAATGCTGGACACCTACATATTCACGCTGATTACGATTCTGACCATTGTCGTAACGGTGGCACGTTCATTTCTGTTCTTCAATCTGGCCATGAAGGCCTCCATAAGTCTGCACAATTCCATGTTTCACGGCATTAGCCGTGCTGCCATGTATTTCTTTAACACGAATCCGTCCGGACGCATTTTGAATCGTTTCTCCAAGGACATGGGCCAGGTGGATGAGATACTGCCCGCCGTCATGATGGATGTCATACAGATCTT